TCCATTTCAAGTATTTATAATATTAATATTATGTAGGTGCATGCTTATTATACTATTTATAATATATGTATACTAAAATATATGAGTCGTATTACATTATTAGCGCACGTTTGCATTTTACATRMTATAATATTAACAGACGTGTTCTTTGATGTAATGTATCATACGTTTTTTTTACGTGCGACTGAATATTTCTACAACGATCCTAAATTGAGGACAAAATGATAACTATGTTCGAAAAAAATTGTATAGGCACGAGGCACCTACACATAAAATATAATTTAGATATGACTCTAGGCTCTAGCTGACCCCGCGTAGACTTCCATTGATGTATAGAATTAATGGGAATCGTTTATATTAAATACACCAAAATATTTCAAAGTGGTGTCAGTAAATATTATGATATAATATAAATGTTTTTAACTTAAACTGTGAAATGATTCTATGTCCTAGGCAGTGTTGAGGTTGAGACCTATCTAGATAGATATATTAATTATCTATTATCTTACGTATCTAGATAAAAATCTAAATGTTATGTTTTGGATTGGCGTCCCGCTACTCGCTATAGATAATAAATGGTTRTTTAAATAATTAGTGTGCTGTGTGCAGCTATCACTTGGTGCCCATCACCATAACAAGGAGGTAGGTAATAAACATAATTCTAATTTCTAAGGATATAATAATGAAATTACATGGAGTACTACAATGTGAGATAATAACTAATAATCATAAGAAAATAATTCTTGGAAATAGAATAAGAGAATAACATCTTAAAAACTACGAAAAAAATGCTTAAGTAAACGAAAATGGCATTCACAGATAGGCAGTGCACATAAAAAGAACRTGTGGAGACGATAAGTATCATTACACACTACTAATAAAAAAGAGTCCATAGAAATAATATTCAAAATAATGAATATTTTGAAAAAATAATTATAATATACACGAGATTATCAAAAATGCTGTCATTCAGCCATTCAGGGCGCATCAGTACATCACACTCGTATCCGAGCGTGGGTGGTTATTAGTTTTGACTAGATTAGATGATTATGATTTATGAAGCATTCGATAACAGTATAATATAATCATATCAAAATAGGCTAAGAGACTAGAGGGTAGGACTTTATATAAAAAAAAAACCCAAAACTGACTGTATTCAGATGTGATCTGACCAAATACTAAGCTCACACACTCAACGAAAAATAACGATTAATTTTAATAAATTATATTTATCAATCTTCAATAAAACGCCTTTCTTAATAAGAAAAAATAAATTGTCGCATGACCCTGTAGACGACGATATCACCACAGTTATCTATTTATATATCTTAGATGATTATATGAAACACGAAAACGCTAGTCATCTACAGTAATTTATCTATAGATATTTTTATGATGTAGAAATTATTTTCATTAATTTTAATATTATCATATTTAKGTTTTTGGTAATATTTACCATATTTTTGTTCATGTCGACGACGACATTCGGGACGGTACCAATATTTCTTTTATAATATAAATATAATGTTACTATATTATTATTTATTACTCTTTAGTCATTGACTCGAAAGTTGATGTACCTATATTGCAGTTTTAGGTGTTTATTACTTTTAAAGTCATTTTCCCACATTTAAAGTAATTTATATTGATTTCCCACTAGTTAAGTTGTTATCGTTTCTTGTCGACCATTATGCCGATAACTAAAATTTGGAAATTTTGGAAATTACCACAGACTTAGATTATTTATCTTATTAGACTAGTTATAGTTTTATTTTAGATTTTGAGCGGAGCGAGGAATCTATTGATATTACCATGATGTGTGTTTTTTTTGTGTCTGTCATCACATTTTTGGACAGTAAAAATGTTTTGATTTTTGACTTCAGTACCTTGTTCGATCAGAAAGTGAATCTAGTTGGTACTTTGGGAGGTCAAAAGTACAAAACTCTCAAAATTTTTCTAAATAATCAGGATAAGCAATCTAAAACTTAAGGGAAAAACGGGAAATTTACGCACAATCAGTATTCAACAAAATCGATTTTAGTTTTTGATGTAACATTAAAACAAATGACCATAGATAATTGAAATTTTCACCGAATGTTTATATAAGTATATTCTATCCACCATGCAATTTTCAAAAATTTTAGACTTACGTTGAACTATTCATAGGTATATGCAATTTTCGATAATTATTAGTTTTTTTTTCTATAAATATCGATAAAAATTTATTTTTTAGGTAGAAAATTTTGAAAATTTAATACAAGGCTCTTAACATATTGCTACAATAACAGTTTAAAAATAAAATAAATTCATGGTCACATTTTTTTTTTTTTATAAGCATTTAAATTTTGAATTTTGACAAAATACGTAAATAAATAAATAAAATTTTTAACTAACGGAGTGTAGTAAACCGATGGAGCCAATTTACTATTTTAAATATTATAGGATTACAGGAACACATACGTGAAAAACAACAAAATCTTATTACCATTTTTGATTTATCACAATTCGTGGACATATTTGATTATTAAAAAGCTATGAATAGGAACCGTTTTCAATTACATTTGGCAATAACAACCACGTCGACGTCGGTACCTTTTGATCCACCTCCTAGTCTCTTACGTGTAACACTTTAGCCACTATAGGATTCTGCATAAATACAGGACTTCGTYCATARCARAATAATTAGAATTAGTTAAATCTTCCACACATTTAGAACTTATCTGGTCGTAGAATMCGCGCACTCTACATAGCCGCCAGACTAAGTTTTTTTTCCTTTTATTTTTAGTGAATAAGATTACTAACTTCTCGGGCAGATACTTTACTTTCTGTCCTCAAATTTATATAATTTCATTTTTACTTAATAAACATTTAATAACTTTTAACGTTGTGCCATTTATAAACTCTGTAAACTGCTCCTTTGAAAAACCTGATTGACGATCGTCATCCAACGTCGCTGAACTCAATATAGGCGATAGTGAGGGATCACTGCAACGTCTGCAACTCCCGTCTCCCGTAGTCTCATGCAGGCGACAGCTGCACCCTAATCACATCAATGACCGYTTATTATATAGCCGAACGCCCATAACAAAACAATACAGTTCCTTCTATCTTGATGTAAGAATTTAAAGGGAATTTTTCTTAGTAAATGCCAACAAAAAATAWCATGATATATTTATAACTTTATAAGTAGGTATTTTGTGCTTAATAAATAAATTTATTGAACTATTGTTATCTTGAAATCTTTAAATCTTGCTGTACCTATGATTTATGAACTAGAAATATTATAAACCTTGTTTTTTTTATTTTTTGTTTTCCCTAATGCTCTTGAAAATTATTGATCAGGGTAATTTTCCCTCACGAAAAGTTATGTTAGTTGAAAGTAAGTTAAATTAAGTTTTTAATAAGATAAAACAATAATACACATTGTAAAATTATTAAAACAATTTGTGATTATAGAATRYTTTTGCTACCAATTTTTTTAGATTTGATAGTTTGATTGAAAAAACATAGTATAATTCATTCTTATAAATAAATAAGTTAGCTTTTTTCCCCCAAGATTCATTGTATCAATATAAGTTCAAAATCTAAAACTATTATAATTATAAACAGAATACAGATTTAACATTAAATTATATTTTAAATTAGTAATCTGATGTCATAATTAATAACTATGTTCAAGCAATAAAAATCAGGAAGGCTAAAAAATAAATTATATTTAAAAGTTAAAATGTGGTAGACCCTCAATGAAAGATTATAAACAGGTTTTTTGTATTCACTTCATATTCCTTTTTACTAGGTAGGTACCCATGTGGAATACATGATAAATAATAATATAAATAAGTAGGTACTTATAAATCTAAAAACGTTTATCACAAATTTATTTGTTTATATTTTGTTATTGACTTTAATAGTTTAAAAGCATATATATATATATATATATATATATTATTTACGTTGAAGAATTAAATGTGAAGTTTAATCATTGTGTGCTAATGTTTTATAAAAGTATAAGATTATATTATAACTATAAAATATACCTTTTGGAGCTTAGGTATAGCAGTTAGTTTAACTCAAAATACCTACATTATTTGTAACACATTGAACTTTTTTTTTATATATGTGAAGGTGAATATATAATATTAAAGTGTTATAGGTACTGTTGTTGATTCAGAATCTATAACTTACCTAATGGCAATAGTAATTTAAATATTTTGAACTTTTACATGTCAAGTAAAATATTTAGAAAYTCATTTCTTTRGTTTGTTTTGAATTACATATAAAGCACAATATCTACTTGCTTCATAAACCTTACAGTACAAAGGTAACTAATGAATGTTGCTCAGATATATGATCTAGAAATTAGAATCATTTATTTGAACAGGTTCAATATGATGGTCAGATTTGTGAGGCCAGAATTGCTGTAAAGAGGAAATATAAATTTTATTCTTTACTAAAATACAAATATTATAGGCGATATCTTCTATTATTTTAAAATTTTTTTTAAYTCATTAATTTGTTTCAATATGGTGTATAATACATAACCAAATAGCATCAATTAATGTTAAAAATGAGCCATCATAGTCAATGACTGAAGGCTAATAAAAAAAAATAAAAATAAAATGTTAAAAATGTAAATTTGTTAACAATCCTTAATTTGTTATGTGTACCTATCTAAATACCTAATAAGAATGCAGACATTTCAACATTTGTATATCGGAATAGTAGAGTTATAGACATATGAAGGATTTTTTTCAGCAAGTGTGTATAATTTTATGATGATAGTTCTATCTTAAATCCTATATAGCACCTACTACTTTATTCAACAGACATACAGGATGATTTTCGATTTAAATTGAATTTTCTTTTTTAGTTTACTTGCATAGTAAAAATATATTATGTTTAATATTAGTTGTTATACATTCTACCTGCAATTCAAGATTRTAACATTTGTGAATAAATTAAAAATTGCTTATGATAAGACTGTACCACCATTTAAATATATTTGTTTTTTAAACAAAATATAGTTACAATTTATACACAATAATAGTGTTTTGGTTAAAGTTACAATATACATAGCGAGACTGACAGATTGACAAAGCAGTCAGTAGTCACAACCGGCAAATATATTTTAAAAGAAAGTTATATWTAGCCAAGCTAATTATTTCTAATCATCACAGTCCACAGAATTATAATAATTGTATGAATAATATATTAATATAAATATTTAAAGACTAAGAGTATGTGGCATTTGTAAACTGAACATATTTAGTTGATACATAATACATAAGTAYCAAGAAAATTTTTCTTTTATTAAAAAATATGTAAAATATTGAAGTCTGCTTAGACTTATATTTTGTGTAGTGAAAATTATCACTAATCCACCATTACACAAAATTGTATCATTATAAAATACAAAAAACAAAAGTAACTTATGGCAACAATAATTTAAATTGTGAATGTAAACGATTTATCAGAATGCTATGATCATAATTCATGACAAAATTATGATTATTAACTAATACAATAAGCACCATATTATTATAAGCAATTTATCATTTTTGAACTACAATTCTTTATTGTTAAAACAATGAGAATCTTGACCAGTAACTTCTATCTAAGGATGGACATCCATTTTGTTGCCTTAATTGTAACGCATATGGTAAAAGGTCTTCAATATATTTGACACGTTTTTTGTGACTTGGATGTGTAGACAACCACCATGTCTCATTATTATTTGGATCAAGCTTTTCCATTCGCTTCCAGAAAATTGGTGCTTGACGAACATCAATACACGCATTAGCTGCTAGCATCAAGCCATACTTGTCAGCCTCAATTTCCTGTTCACGTTCATAAGGCAGTAACATTGCTATGCTTTTAAAATAATGACCAAATACATAACCCAAAATAGCTTCTGGTATTGGAAACACAGCCCACATTATAGTAAGTGGTATAAGCCAAAGCACTTCAAGTAAATGTTCTAGACTTAAACGTACTGCATGATGATCAAGAAAACAGTGTGCAATTTCGTGCGACAAAACCACACCAACTTGCTCGTCATTAGCTGCATAAAGTAACCCTGTGAATACTATTATCATGCCGTTTGGTAAAACCATAGCGTTAATTCTTGGATCGTTGACGACTACCAAAGACCATTTTCGATTTTGTAAACGGTCAAATGGCTTATTGGCATTGATTACCAACATTGCTATGGACAAAGCTCGTTTGTAAAGTGGATGTGATGTACTTAACACAGCTTGTTGGTTTTCACTTAACAGTTCTCTAGAAATTGAATTTGCTAGCTCTACCATTTGTTGATGTGTAAAAAGAATTAACCGACGTCTACCAGTTATTGGGTCAAACTCCATGTGAGCAGCACAGTACACAAGAAACAAACCAATGACACTAGCTATTGTAGCAGTTATTTGCTTCCGACGTTTGTGTACATTGTACCAAAACTGTTGCTTCTCTTTTGCACTCAGCTTTGACCACCAYCGGCGTATACGTATGCCCAACATCATAGCAAAAAACTTRGCAAATGAACGGATCACTATTGCCGCTATTGGAGGCAATGGAAAACGGTTGACAGGTGAAACACTAAATTAAAACAAAAATGTTACCAATTAGATTATGAAATAATTCCACAGTAACCATACAAGTATACCTAAAATATTTTTTGCATGACTGCAGATGACTAATTCTACTGTTGACCACAAGTGGAGACCGGTACCAATGGCTGGTGGTRGGCATGAGACGAGTGTATGAATATTGCTTACATTTTCCATACTGCTGCACGTGCAAACTGCGCATTTGAACACACAGCTTCCTAAAGCCATTACAGCAAAACATTTCTGATCCAAAAATTTGCTGTCAAACAACTGGTGAGTTACGGTCTGGACCACAGCAAAACGCTAGAGTTTTCATATTATTGAATCCAATAACAGTACAGTGAACAGTACAGTGTGAAGATGAGTGAAGTTGAAAGTCATATTTTGCAGAGTTGTGCTCAATGAAACTAAAAAACTACAACTCTCATAAGTCATAATATTGTTGTTGTTGAAATCGTTGTGGTGAATAATTACTTTGATTTCTTTTTAAAGCAACGCTACTGGCTACCATTTTCATATGCAATGAAAAATATTTGTCATCTTACATAATACATTACATTGAAAATAACAGAATTTTAAGCTTTTAATTATAATAATAGGTACAGATGAAATAATATAATATATTATATTTTATAAAAATCTCAAATCTGCATTCGAGTATTTGACTGTTGGCTGATTACATTGAATGAAAATGATTACATCTGATATGGGAATAAAAATTAAAAATTAGTTTGTGATGTGGTCAGTCAGCTGATTAATATAAATACAAAAACACGGTGTTTACTACTGTCTATAATATTACCTTGAGTATATGAATTTGTAAATTTGTTTATTCAAGACTATTGTTCCTTTTTATGCTACTCAGTAGGTGCTCACCATATTGTGCTAAAACTGAAATAGTCTTTTTATGACCTATCCACGAGTTCAAGACTTACTACTGTTGTAGTTGTAAATAGTCCACATTCATTCCACTTTTCAGTCTCTGTACTCCAACTTGATTTTTTATGGAAGGCTCGAAAATACGCTTCGGTATCACGTGTAAACATTTTTAGACAGAAACAGAGAGGTTACCCACCCAATGAAATTAAAGATTCACAGGAATAAATTTCAATAATTAATGTACCAAATATATTTTTAAAACATCGATTAACTTGACGGGACCGGTTCGAAAAGCTTGGAATGCAGGAATCGGCAATCGGCCTGCGGCCGGCCGTAGTTTGGAAACCCCTGGGCCATAGCATTGTAGACACAGAATATTATGTCGTAGACTAGACAGTGAGAAACTGACCCGCGAGTGATCGTACCAGGTGCCCCTGATGATTATGCAATATGCATATTCTATCATGGTCGCGACGATAACACTGTGATAAGATAATATTGTTATTTAAATTTTTTTACCGAGCGACGAGCAGTAGCCAGTAAGCACCACAGATAGTGAGCACAGACAAGACGTATCGCCTGTATCTGTGGCAGTGAAGCGGCAGCGGCGTGGATGCCGCTGGTCTGGTAGCCTCTTCTTCTCTCCACGCCAACGAAACGWTTGGCTGCTGCAAGTTGTCAAGTACAAATATTGCAGAAACAACTAGAGGCTTATTGAATACTGGACTTGTATGTTGTATCCATAGACCTTGTACTATACTTAAGTATGGTTGTATCATTGTTTACTTTTGTAGTTTTGTCATACGACCATGTGCTGGCAGAGATGTTGTTCGCATTCCGTAAAGTGTCACGTGAAGAATTTTAAGTTAAAATTTTAAAAAAAACCCCCAAACATGTATCTGGACACTGCGCGTTGGTACCCGTTAGTCTTGTTGACTGCCATCCAATTTGGGTTTTCAAAGTGTGCCGTTGACAACAGTCTGTCGTACAAAGAAGAAACCGGTCATTCTATTCTCGACACTTTGCCTCGGTTAGTTGAACTTGAGTATCATCATAATATATAGGTAAATAGCTGTGGAGAACACTTATTTTAGGTGTCATCGAATTAGTTCCAAAATTGTAGTATTTTTCTCTTGTTTTAAATGTTAAAATGTGATTTGAAAAGTTTTTTTCAAATTTATTTATTTATCTGTGTTAGTGATATAACAGTGTTCAAAATGTTAGTTTAAAAATATGATTAATTTATTATATTATTAAAATAATAATATTTTAAATGTTGATCCTTAATATAMATGTGTGCAATAAAATAATAAATACTTGATTTTGTTTAGATATATTTTGTATGATGTCAATARACCCGAAGGATTCAATTTACGCCGTGATGTGTTCATACGAATGGCATCTTTTATACATCATATGAATAAGGTGTCTGATTATCATTGGATTTTGGTAAACATTTTTTATTTTACATTTTCTAATTCCAATAATATATAGATAATTGTAAATTTTAGGTGTTGCCACCATGGCACCGTTTGTATCATTGGAGATCATCAAATCTTATACAAGACTGTCTTCCATGGAGTTTATTTTTTAACGTGGATTCCATTAAAAAAATTACTCCAGTTATTGAATTACATGAATTTTTCCAAAGTATATTTTTCAAATATTTTATTATTAGGGTTCAGGACTTATAGTACTAAATTTTTTAAAAATCTTGATTTTTTAAATTTTAAGTTTTGAAAATTGCTTTAAATTTWWAAAAAAAWTTTTTAATGTCAGTTAATTAAATATTACTTATCTAAACCTACCTAAATTCAACAAAGTTGAATAAAAAATCACAAACTTATGACTTGTACCATACCTCAATTGACTTTTAACATAACAAAAAAAATGATATAACCATCAAAATGTATTTACTTAAAATAAAACATGAAAATGATTAAATATGCTGAAAATCACAATTAAATCACCAAAATTTATCAAACATGCATTTAGCCTAATAAATGGTAAAATATTCAAAAATATATCATATAGATTTTTTTTTGTAAGTGTTATGTCTAAGATACATCTTTGAATATTCTATAGCTTTAATTAAAAAATATGCAAATGCAAAAAGTCCTGAACTTTGATCTTAATTAACCATAATATTGATACCTCATAACAATAATTATTGACATATTAGTGAACGGATTAAGACCATTGGATGCCCAAGTTACATTGCAAAATTTCAATATGAAGTCGTTTGAACAATATCCAGACTTTTCAGATACATGGGAAGTAACCAATTGCAAAGGTCAAGTTCAAAAAGAATTTTGGAACCTAAAGAACCTAACATTTAGCAAATCATTATGTATATCATTCCAAGGAATTTCCACTCTACTAGCTGACATTGTTCAGGAGTTACAACCAAGGTAATAGATCCAATAATTTAATAAGAAAATTCAAAATATTACACAACCCATATATTTTTGTTTATTATGACTGACACAAATCAAATCAACTAATAATATTATAATAAATTTGTTAAGTTAAACTATTTTAGTTATATCTATGGTATATAGATTATTATTATTATTATTATTATTATGATGATGGTAGAAGATTTCAAAAATGTGTTAAACTTAATAAATTTACTTATTTAAAACTAGTATAAAATAGTATAATRCTTAATAAGTACAATTTTTTAAGAATATTTGGTAAATCAAAAATGCAATTATAATGTTATTGGTAAATAGTAAATACTAATTTGTGGTTTTATTTAATGTGAAATCAATTTTCCCCTATTACTGTGTTGGTCAGACAAAAAAAAAAACTAACATGTTTGTAGTGCATCTTGTAATTTTTCAAATTATTTTTACTTATGTTTTTAGTTGTTTTATGTTATTGCTATGATTAATTAAAAGTGCTTTGTTTGTTTTATGTTAGAACTATTATATTTGACCATGCGGAGTTAGCATTGCACAATTATTATGGTGGACAAGAGTATTGGATGGTTAGGAAAAGTATGCAATTCAGCAACAATCTGCATGAAATTGCTAAGGAATTTAAGAAAATAAATTTAAAGCAAGATTACTTGTGTGCACACGTGCGTCGCAGAGATTTTTTGTATGGCCATCCTAGTGATGTACCCAGTCTAAAGAATACAGCTGAACAGATAATAGAGAAATTAAGTTTGTGGAATAATATTAAAACAGTTTATGTTGCGACCGATGCTTCAAAAACAGGCAAATATTCCTCTTAATTTTATTGTGTTGAATTCCAAGTAAAAATAATTTTTATTTTAGAATTTGAAGAACTTAAAAATTATTTGCAACCTTATAAAGTTTTTAAATTTGAGGCTGATAAGAAAACCTTGAATTATATTTTGGATGGTGGGGTTGCAATAATTGATCAAATAATATGTTCGCAAGCAAAGTGAGATATCATTCTTGTCATTTTAGGTTGAGTTGCATACATTTAAAACCATTTTATTTTTTTTAGATATTTCATTGGAACATCTAAATCCACATTTTCATTCCGAATTCAAGAGGAGAGAGAAATTCTTGGAATGCCATTAGAAACTACTTTCAATAGTTTTTGTGGGGACAACACTGAGTGTACACAACCTACAAAATGGAGACTTGTTGAATAACAATAGTTGTTTTGTTATATAGCAGACTTGCAATTTCTGGTGGTACAACAATAAATGATTATTTCATTTATTGGTATCTTGCATCGTCCTCTTGCAGTTTAATTTTCATCTCCTTATCAAAGYGTGACAAGAATGTTCCAGCAGTGAAAAATTTCATGTCCAGTAACTGTGCAGCGTTCTTGCGGTTAACTGGGTTAAATTGGAGACAATGTGTTACTATTTCTATCAGATATATTGGCCAACAGGCATACACTTTTCGAAGTGCCATGGCGGTTTTCGAGACTGTATAAGATTGAGATAATGGTGCATAGCTAGCCTCTAAACTAAGGCTAAAACCGTGTTTTCGTAAGTACTTATCTACCACTATCAAGTCACAGTTGTCGCATCCCAGTATTTTTGTGATACCATACAATTGACTGATAATTGTGTCTTCAGCTACAAGAGGCATCTTACTGACCAATTCCGTGAACAAAATGCCTATAAAATACCATACTATTTTGATATATTATGTATATAACATGTATAGTTGTTTCTCTTGTTACTCTCATTGACTATACACTTACCAACTGACCAAATGTCTACAGTAGCATCATATTTTGTTGACTCCATTAACATTTCCGGGGCCTGATACCAGACAGTGCCCATCTCAGTGCTGAGGTCTAGTGTTCTGTCCGTGCTAAACATCCGGGACACCCCAAAGTCACAGATCTTGATTATACCATTGGCTGACAGCAAAATATTTTCTGGCTTGATRTCGCGATGCACAACATTCTGACTATGCACATAGTTTAGCCCTCTTAATACCTTTAACATTTTTTTCAAGATCAGGAAAGATAAAGTTTGGTTAATAATATAGTTTCCTCTAAATATATAATAACTTGGTAAACACATTCTTTCGTGACATCTACTGTTAAAAATCCTCCGTTTAGCTCCAAATATCTGTAAAGGTTATACCGCATCAACGGGAACACCATATGGACATGTCCATGGTGCCTGAATGCTTCAATTATTGGTACYACATGATTATTATTGAGTGCCCGCAACAGATAAATCTCACGCACCATCATCTCGCAGTGCCGGCGATTGTGGGCACCTCGTCGTCCATCCATTGTGTCACGTAGCCTCTTAATTGCCACTGACTGCCCGTTTGTCACATTAAGACACTTTGTAACTGTACCGTAAGTGCCTGCACCTGCTGCACCCAACTCCTTGTACTTGTACATTAAATATAATATAAGATAAAATGTATTTATAAGTTAAAATTTAAAATYCAGTTGTCTTGGTRGGTGCCCCACAAAATGATAAAAATAAAATTAATAGTTATTTAATAAAGGAAAAATATTAACAGATGTTATTCAATTTTTACTATGGAAACATTTCTAAGTATTTCACTTTTCTATGTGTACAAGTATAACAGTGATGCAAAGTACTTTTAAAACTAAGTGCAACTATTACCCACAACAATTATCAATTTAATTAATATACTTTTCAATGATTTAACTAAATTATATCATGTTGTTAAAAAGTTTCAATTTATTTATTTTTYTGTTTTATTTATTTATTTAAGTTTAGAAGTCCGCATTAAGTAACTAATTTATAGATTAATAGATTCGTTTTTTACGAAAAATTTATATTTAAGAGCATTGGTATGAAAACAACTTGTTCCTAGGATATTAAACCTATTGTTTTTTTTTTTTTTTTTTTTAAATGTATTGAATTTTATTGACTATCTGCAGTAACTATTGTTGATTTTTTGTCTTGTCGTTTCTCATGTATATTTATAAATGATTAAAATTGTAATTATACTCAAAAGTTTTAAAGTATTTGATTTTGAACATACATTGGTATTGTAATACCAACATAGCTCACACCTTATTTCAAAATTTATTGAAAAGYAATTAACATCACAATAGTCCAAATAATTTGTTTATTACCATCAGTAAACAATGGTTTTACTAAAATTGTTTTAATACTTCATCACTTAACTATATATATGATGTTATTATTTGAACAACTAAAAAGAGATGGATTCTAAATATTTWGTGATTGGATTTTGGTAATTCTAATTGTGTAATTATTTTATTATAATATATTTGTATTTTAGGGTTTTTACCATGTAAAAATAAAATGATATAATTTTGTTTTATATATTTTCAATTATGTTATGATTTGGACTAACAAGTCCCAATATATATTAAGGGATTACAATCTTGGAACATCAGTTGATGATAATATACCTAATTAGTCTACAAAATTTAAATTCAAACTATGACGTATCGTTAATATGTATCAATGCATTGTACAATCAATCAATTTGATTTTAAGGGGATCGGTGGAGATTCTGGCGACTGGTGGATAGTTTTTATGGAGTTTGAATTAAGCAATTTTCAATTAATTTGCAGCGGCCAGCAGGTCTTGTAAATGTATGCRTAGTAAGTGATTATTAGTTTGTGTGTAAATGTGTATACAGTGGGGTATTTAAGAGGAAGCGATAGGGGTGATCGCCCCCCCCCCACTAAGATATGTTTAAAAATCAAACTTAATTATGTTGAAGTTATACGTGTTTCCAGTGGCATGTTTGAGGAATAAAGATTTTGTTTTGTAAATAAAAATGTGCTTCGTTTTTTAAAATTTCTAAAAATCACCGTAAACTGTAAGCAATTTATAGTCATTTATGTTGTACTTTTTGTCCATCCTACCGATTGACCTAATGGTGGATTAATACTTCAGAAAAATTATCTTTATTCGTTATACAGGGTGTCCCGCAGGGATTTCCCCATTGCGATATCTTACAAAATAATGGATATAAAAATTTTGGTTTTATAATAAGATTCACAGAGATAAGAACTACAATTATTTCAATTTTTGATTTACTATTTTTAATGTTTTTTGTATAAAATGTAAAAAATATTTATTTTTTATTTAATTATTTCTAAAAAAAATAAAAAATTAAGAAAAATAAACTACAAAATTGCTATGGTTATTTTTTTGGAAATAATTAAATAAAAACCTATATTTTTTTTTACATTTTTACCAAAACATTAAAATATGAAATAACCGTAGTTCTTATCCCTATGAGTTTTATTACAAAACCAGAATTTTGATATCACCATTATTTCGAGAGATATCGCAATTGGTAAATCCTCATGGGACAACCCTGTATAGGTTACTGGAGATTGGTCAATCTACATTTTAAGGTGTCTGATTTAAATTCTAAATAATTTATGTTTGCAAATTCTCTAATTTAAAAATATTCGGACCAAATTAATAGTCGAGGGAGGTAAAATTGGGAAAAGTTGAATGGCTGATCTAAAATAGTGTTACTCACAAATTCAAATCAGGCTTTAAATAGTATTATTGCATTACTAGGTCGATCAGTGCGATGGACAAAGATTGGTATGTTTTGACTAAAATTACTGTCCACCACCAATCCGGGGCAATCCCCTTAAGCCAGTATATAAAAAATATGGTAATAATTTATGATGTTGATTAATAGATTATACTTGAACAAAACTCAACTAACAAATCAATTGAAAACAATACTTGACATTGTTTTAATATTTGAAATTATTATTAAACCCTCCTTTATGCATATTTATTGTTATCAGTTTGATTTTTCTTTTTCTTACTTATATCTTAGTTTTATCTGTATTTTTAT